CAAACACAATGTACTTAGCTCTTGTCAATATGGCTTCAAACCCCAAGAAAGCACTAACGATGCACTTATTAGTATGCTTAACTTGATATATGCAGCTCTAGATAAAAATGAGTTCCCTGTTGGGTTATTTGTGGACCTGCGTAAGGCTTTTGGCACTGTCAACCACCAAAACCTTCTTAAATTACATCATTATAGTCAGAGGACACTCCCTGCAATACCTTCAGTCTTACCTTACTAACAGGCTCCAGTATGTTTCTGTGAATAATTCAATTTCTCCCACCCTACCATCAACATTGGTGTTCCTCAGGGCAGCATACTTGGCCCTCTCCTCTTTCTCATCTACATTAATGACCTTCCAAATGCCTCCCGACACCTCAAACCAATTCTATTTGCTGACGACACAACCTTCATTTATTCCAGTCCTGACCTCGCTCTAAATGTCACAGTGAATACTGAGCTAAATAAAGTCCATCTTTGGCTAACTGCCAACAAACTCACCCTTAACATTGACAAAACTTTCTATATTTTGGCAATAAATCCTCAAATTAAATAAATCTCAGGATATACAATACCCAAATTTGTAACAAAGCAGATGGCAAATTCCTTGGCGTTCTTATTGACCACAAGCTGAATTTCCAGGGACACATTCTAAATATATAAAAAAAAGTTTCAAAAACTGTGGGCATTCTTTCTAAGATCAGATATTATGTACCTCGCCCTGCCCTGGTGACTCTCTATTATTCCCTTATCTATCCATATCTCAACTATGGTATTTGTGCATGGGGCTCTACTACCCAAAATCACTTACGTCCTCAAATTACTCAACACAAAGCTGCTATTAGGACAATATCCAACTCTGGCCCCAGACATCACTCGGTACCCCTACTCAAATCTCTGAATATGTTAGACATTAAGTCACTGCTCATTCTCTCATGTGTATTATACATATATAAAACGCTAAACTGTAATGCCAATCCTGACCTCAAAAGCTTCATAGAAGGTTGTAACAGAACCCATGAGCACCACACCAGAAATAAATACAGTTTTGATATTCCTAGAGTACGACTTAATCAAACTAGAAATGCTCTACAAATCAAGGGACCCAGATTGTGTATGCATGGTGAGAGTGCGAGTCTCACATGGGACTCCCCCCCTTCCACCTCCCGGAGAAGACGGCATTCATCTGTTATTGAAGCACTCGCCCAAAACAGGCAAAGTACCGATGCAGGAGGTCGATAAGTACTGTACACACATTTCACTTAGCAGTGATTTATACATACTTTGAGGTTCAGGAGTTAGAGAGCCTTTCATAGATGTTGTCGTGAGCATATGGTGCTACAAATTGTTCACAAGAATAGCAAGAAACTGTTGATAATTAATAGAGACAATTGTCTTGTTGCTTGTTATGGTAATGCCTCCAAACTTCCCCTTTTAAATTGACTTTTGATCATCTACAGTTCTAGTGCCAGGTTTCTCTTTTAGTCTATGCAATGACCTTATGCTCCATTGAATCAGTTTGTCATCATACACAATCGAAGTAGAGCGTTTCTGTAGACACCCAGACAGTAAACCAAGTTCATACAACGTGTCATACATTAGAGCTAAATCCAATAAAAACTGTTCTTAAGTTAGCTTTTTCAACAGACTTTCATAGGTTTTTCTAACACTTCCAAATCTTGTTTCACTGCTTTTTCAAAATGAAAACAAAGTGCTTCATAATTTTTCCACACTGCTGAAACTATAAAACGAGCTGGCCACCCACCTGGTGTTCAGAACATGGCCTCTGGCCACCCACCTGGAGCTCAGAACAAGGCCTCTGGCCACCCACCTGGAGCTCAGAACACGGCCTCTGGCCACCCACCTGGTGTTCAGAACATGGCCTCTGGCCACCCACCTGGAGCTCAGAACACGGCCTCTGGCCACCCACCTGGAGCTCAGAACACGGCCTCTGGCCACCCACCTGGAGCTCAGAACATGTCCTCTGGCCACCCACCTGGGCTCAGAACATGGTCTCTGGCCACCCACCTGGTGCTCAGAACACGGTCTCTGGCCACCCACCTGGTGCTCAGAACATGGCCTCTGGCCACCCACCTGGTGCTCAGAACATGGCCTCTGGCCACCCACCTGGTGCTCAGAACACGGCCTCTGGCCACCCACCTGGAGCTCAGAACATGGCCTCTGGCCACCCACCTGGTGCTCAGAACACAGCCTCTGGCCACCCACCTGGAGCTCAGAATACAGCCTCTGGCCACCCACCTGGTGCTCAGAACACGGCCTCTGGCCACCCACCTGGTGCTCAGAACACGGCCTCTGGCCACCCACCTGGTGCTCAGAACATGGCCTCTGGCCACCCACCTGGTGCTCAGAACACAGCCTCTGGCCACCCACCTGGAGCTCAGAACACGGTCTCTGGCCACCCACCTGGTGCTCAGAACACGGCCTCTGGTCACCCACCTGGTGCTCAGAACATGGCCTCTGGCCACCCACCTGGTGCTCAGAACACGATCTATTTTGTAAATCTGTTACTCAAATTGAGAGGAAACATTCAGATAAATCCTTTTGATTTAGAGGTGATCTTCTGTAAACTGAGTACAATTTGTCCATAAATGCTTTAAAATTATTAATTCCATGAACTTCTCTCACTGCATCACCTACTGCAAGTTCTAATCTGTGATTAAGACAGTGTCAGATTATTATATCAGGGTAAAGTTCCTTGAGAATTGTTGCAATGCCAGATTTGACACCCAGCATGACACTTGCCCCATCACTAGCAAATGCTACAAGGTTCTGTTTCAAATATAAGTCCTCAACCCCATGATAATTGAGACAGCACAATAGATGCCCAGCAATAGTTGCTACTATTGGGGGAAATGGGGATTACCTTCCTTATCACTTTCATATTTCAAGTAAACTCTCAAGGTTGTTTTCAATGCTCAGGTTTGTTGGTGCATCAATGAGAACAGAAATTTTGCCATTTATCTGCTTGATATGCTGGCAAATTTTATTTTTCATATTATTGGGTATGTGATTAATTATCTCTGTGGTACTAGTGCAGGAATGCAGTCCCATTCCAAATGTCAACACCATTTTGTTTTTGTAATTCCAGTAAGCCAGAGTGATCAGAGTTTGGTCTGTCATTCTGAGCTAAATATGCAGAACACAAAATGGAACAAGTTGTCTTCAGATGCGAAGCATTCATGGCTTCATACAATTTTCCAAGAGCATCTTCACTAGCAACATTTTCAACACAAAGCAGCAGTGAGCTTTCCATAGTTTATGATCAACAATTTTTTTGAGACTTCAAGAGTGTACTTCGCTCTGCTACATTACAGGATACTCGGTATATCTGCCACTCATTTGATAGTCTTAAACTCTTAGAAGTGAAACGTGTTATATTGCTTATGATTGCACATACTTTACACCAAAGTTTATCTTTCCTGACGTCTAACCATGGATAGGTTTCCTTTTTTTCTTCAGTCCAAATACCTCAGCAGGGATACGTTAGACTTCAATGCACCATTACTTTCTGAATTGCACATGTATCCAGTTTGAATATTTGAACTAGAAGCAGTCAAAACACAACTTATGCCACTTTCAGTGTTATCATTATCAGTCTCTTGTACGTTATTCTTCTTACACTCCTCATTTTATCTACGAAAGAAATCAACATTGTTTGCTTAGAAGCCATGATGAGGGTGTTTGTGAGAAAAAATGCTTCTGTATTAGAGAGAAATCCAGGGACCACCAGCCACCACTTTACTAACACCACTGAAACACAAAAGCAGGGTTGCCAACTCAGTATTTCACGCAATACTAGAACCACCCCAAAAAGCACTAAATTATGTAAATTTGTGTGTAGCAGTTTTGTCGTTTTACCTGCCTATCTTGAGATGAAGTTATCTTCAGACGATTTCGGGGCTTAGTGTCCCCGCGGCCTGGTCCTCGACTAGGCCTCCACCCCCAGGAAGCAGCCCGTAGCAGCTGTCTAACTCCCAGGTACCTATTTACTGCTAGATAACAGGGACATCAAGGTGAAAGAAACATTTTGCCCATTTGTCTCCGCCTCCACCGGGAATCGACCCCGGAACCTCAGGACTACGAATCCAAAGCGCTGTCCACCCAGCTGTCAGGAAGTATTTGTCTAATGAATTAGATACCTGTCTAATGAACTGATGCTAAAGCCATGAACAATATCGCTAAATATTCGTATCCAAAGCAGTAGGTTGGCAAATTTGTCTCATATCGTTTGTCTGGCATAAATGGACAGGAAGCATTCACATGTGTCGGGTATTATGTTTCCAGATTCATACAGTACAATTCAGCCTGTTTACTTTTTATGTACATAAATATTTAAATATTATTGAATCTCTCTAGAAAAAAAGAAATATCATAACATTATTAACCTATTAGTTATGTAATACTAATATTTTCCTGCCGCAATTAATTAAGTTCACCAACAAGCCATCCTCTCTCCCTTTCACCCATTCCATCATCCACTTGCAGAGGTACCGGAGCGTTGCTCCGGCGAGTTCCAGCAGCACTGCTTCACTGGTACCTCCTCTCCTGCTTAGACCTTACACAAAATATAACCTATTAGTTATGTAATACTAATATTTTCCTGCCGCAATTAATTAACTTCACCAACAAGCCATCCTCTCTCCCTTTCACCCATTCCACCATCCACTTGCAGAGGTACCGGCGAGCTCCAGCAGCACTGCTTCACTGGTACCTCCTCTCCTGCTTAGACCTTACACAAAATATAACCTCTCGTCTCATTTTAGAAAAATCTCTTTTAGGTTCTTGTTACCACATTTTGATATTTATTAGAATGATAATCATGCCAGCTACTTAATTCATTATTTTGTAATGTAAGATTATGAAAGCCATGAACTCTTCACAGTCAATTGTCTTCTTTTGGTCTACTATTGAAGAAAGAAACTTACACCTAATTAGTTCAGGAAAGTTACAATACAGTACTAAGGCAGTGATTAATCAAGCAAACCATCTCAAATTTTATTGGCAAAAATTTTACTTGGATCAAAAATATATTTAAACACCATTATAAAATAATTCAGCTAATCTGAAGACAACACAATACACTTCAGCACTGGAAACTTCTATTTTACATTTGCTTCCTAAAACATGGCAGACATGCTCTCCTCCAAGAACTTTTTATAAATTGCCATAAAGGAAGCAATAAAGGCTTCTATGTGGTATATGGCCTTGGAGCCAAGGTTGAGGCGGTGCTCGTGGTATGCCGCTAATCGAGTAACTTCACATTTCAACTCTCCGTCGCAGTTCCGCACCAGCTCCTTCAGCAGACCCTGGAAATATTTCAAGAATCATTATGATCAGTAATTACATTTGAGAAATAATACTCACATAAGAAGGTGACCAATATAATGCTTCTTATAATGGCTAGCACTTTCTCCTGATAATTTTTTTTTTTTTTTTTTTTTTTTTTTTTTGAGATATATACAAGAGTTGTTACATTCTTGTACAGCCACTAGTACGCGTAGCGTTTCGGGCAGGTCCCTGGAATACGATCCCCTGCCGCGAAGAATCGTTTTTTCATCCAAGTACACATTTTACTGTTGAGTTAAACAGAGGCTACAGTTAAGGAATTGCGCCCAGTAAATCCTCCCCGGCCAGGATACGAACCCATGACATAGCGCTCGCGGAACGCCAGGCGAGTGTCTTACCACTACACCACGGAGACTGTAACCTTACCTTAACCTTAATTACCTTACCTTAACCTTTAACAGCTCAACTACTTAAGTCTTACATCATCATGCATATGACATGTGAACACATCACACATGGTGATTCAAGCATAGGAGGTAATCACAGATAGCAACTAGTTAAGAGTTAGTTGTAAGAGTATTGTCAGGTTGATGGATGGTAATGTAACATTATGAGGTACTCTCTTCACCAATACTGAATGTTAGTTTTAACAGTAATGTTCACAACAGATACGTTGAATGCCAGCAATGTTTATCTATCTATAACTCTGGTACTTGATTCCATCTGTGGTACTTCTATGTAAGCCCCAAATTTTTCTTTAGTCTTATAGGGATAAGGAACTGCAATTTTATTTAATTATTTGTTTGTGTATCTGCACCAAATATATTATATGCTTTTTCCAATGGTATCTATCACCAAAAAATAAATAAAAGGAAATAAATCAATAAAACATTGTTAAGAGATTCCATGTTCTAATAGAAAATATTGTTAAAGTAACTTAATACCAGGGGTATAAATATACCCAAGGCATTCAATATAATTATTAATACTGTACTGTACAACCAAAAGGAATGCAGTAATTGCAAAAAAAAGTTTTTAATGGGGCAACCCCCCTCAGTAGCTGCATGGAGCATAACTCAAGTAGGGTGCCAGTACCACACAGCCCGCGGTGTAATGGCAACCACAGTTGTGTCCCAGCTGAAAGGTCCTCGAGTTTGATTCCTGTGCCAGGACAGTAGCACTTGGACAACGTTTCCTTTCACCTGATGTCTTTGCTCATCTAGCACTAAAATAGGTGAGAAAATCAACTGAAGCTTCGAGATGGCACAAACCCGCAACCAAAGCACTCCTGGTCACTCGCCTTACCACTGTACCACACTGACTTATTAGGTAAAAGTTATACAACCAGGATTCCACTGAAATCTCTTAAACACTGGAGGTTTCTACTGAAGCCAGCCCAAGCCTCAAGACTTCCAGAGGTTTGAGTGGAATCTCGGTAATATAACTTTTACCAAGTCGGGGTGGTACAGTGGTAAGGTGAGCTGATATATATCACGTTAGTGTGAGTTCATGGTATATTTGAATAAAATAGGCATCGTGAAGGTAGGCAAGTGTTATGGGTTTCACCCTGGTGAAGGTCAGTGATCAGGGCAATCCTCACTCGTTGAATCACCATCATCTGCTGTCTCTGTATCTAAATTATCACTATTGAAATCACTGTTCCATTCTTCCCCCTCAACATCTGACTCAATATCGGAGAATGTTTGAACTAAACCTGGGATTTTTGTTGGTGTAAGCTTCACTCTGCTAAATTTCTTGTAAAGCATACTTATCTTATCCTCTTTGATTGATTTCTCCGCTCTTTTCGTTGTTGAACTGCTCTGCCCTTGACCCTGATCCATCGTGTAATGTATATAAAGTGTTGAAACAACACGGGAACAAATATAAATGCCAATAATAGAAGAGATCTACACAAGTTTGGGATGCGAGCGGGCAGCATGCTGGTCACAAGCGAGGTAAACAAAGGACTAGGCTGACCACGTGGCCTGACAACCCAGGATGCCATGCGGCATATGGAGGAAAGTGGGAAGACAATGGCGCTCATTTTGAAACCACATAGAAGTTGATCAGATAAAAATTAAATTTTTTACAAATATTTTAATACATGACGCGAGCCATAGTCAATCGCTCAGAATCGGGAGAAAAATGAGTGACGACGGGTCGCGGCACCTGAGTGCAATAGTGTTAAACTATTACATAATACTGATGGATAACTGTAGGAAAATACCTCTGGATAGTAACGGACAGTAATGTTTACATGGACACCACTGTAAGCTGTTTAGTAACCAAATAATACACATATTAGACATTTGAAGAAATAACCAATTCCATTATCTAGTTTAACTTCCTACCTTGAAAATAACCTCTGGAGGTATACAATGTGTCAGGAGCTCGTATATTCTTTCCCGGACTTCTAGCAATCGATTAGGGCTCTGTTCCTCAACAATTTTGGCAGCAGTTCCTTGTAAGAACGTCTCCCAATCAGGGACACATATCTCCTGCTGGGCACTGAAGGGGTATCTGTAAAATATGTCAGCCATTATTATTTTGTTTACCAACAATTGACATAGCAATTGACAATTGATAGCAATTGACCCATCTTCCAGGATTGAGCTTGTAAACGCTTTAAACTAATATTTCATGTCTTAACAGAATTTTAGAAAAAATTAATTAATAAATAATTGAGGATTAAGTGTAATAAAACACATTCCTATGCATGACCAACTACAACCAACTCAGGGACTGAGTCTTCTCCAACTGTGCAGACTGGAATATCTTCCAGTTGAAAAGAACGGCAATACCGTAAAGGCCAACTAGCAAAAGACAAGCACCTGACTAGCAGACATGAGACACAACTGGGGGCTCACTGTTATGACCCCAGGTAGCCTGAAAAACGAGTCTACCTGCCTGAGAGTTATTCAACAAACTAGCCCCAAGTGAGAGGTCAAAGGAAATATAGATATGTGAATATATATGAAATACTTGGCAAGTGTTAATGAACAGTTTAAACGCATGGGCAGAGGATAAATGTGTAAATAAGGACATGACATGAGATGTTGAGATTTTGTTGACAAGGAATGAGGCTCGCTGTGAATGTCTTGACCTCACTCGAGCAGCAGAGGTCATGAGAGGAAGTTGCATTGTGTTTGTACTCCTGGCAGCAAAGGAGGAACCCCTAGTTGTGTGCCCCTACAAGAGAAGGGAGTCAGTCAGGCGTTTGTGTATGAAGCCTGAGGACGACTTAGTGCTCGAGTCAGGATTAGGAGAAGCCTGGTGAGGCATTCCTATAGCAATTTCGTGGGTGACCTGTGTGAGCGCCATGTCGAGCGTCATCGAGTGAACGCCCCGCATCAGATAAATTCTGTGGCAAGTCTATTTAACCAGTTGTTAATGAATGCCTGTGATTGATCATGTGCCCAGCGATCATGGCAAGTGTTTATAGATACATTAGATGTGTTTTATTAAGGCAGTGAGCTGAAACAAGAGGGTAGAGATGGAGGAACGTCCTGGAGGGCAGAGTGACGTGTCCACCCTCTCCGGAGACCAGTGGCTGACTGAGTGAGGCGGCGGCGGCTGCCAGCGAGGCAAAGCATGGAATTGCCCGAACAGGGGAGTACCCCCTCACGACATGTTAGAGTATATAAAGAGATGTCAAGCGAAGGACACTTATTTTGTGTGAATACATTTAATTATGTTTTAGTAGGAAAACATTTTTATTGGCATGGCAATGGAAATTGCAGGTTTGTTTGGGGGAAGAAGTTGATAGAACTTCGAGGCCAGGGAAGAAGACCACCAGCAGTCTCCGTGGTGTAGTGGTAAGACACTCGCCTGGGGTTCCGCGAGCGCTATGTCATGGGTTCGTAACCTGGCCGGGGAGGATTTACTGGGCGCAAATCCTTAACTGTAGCCTCTGTTTAACACAACAGTAAAATGTGTACTTGGATGAAAAAACGATTTTTTTGCGGCAGGGGATCGTATTCCAGGGACCTGCCCGAAACGCTACGCGTACTAGTGGCTATACAAGAATGTAACAACTCTTGTATATATCTCAAAAAAAAAAAGTTGATGGAGCAAATTTCGAGGTGGAGAAGTGAAGGCTGAACTCTGTGGTAGACCATAACCCCATAGTGAGAAGTGGACCTGAAGCAGTGTGGAAGAGCAGTGAAGAGAAGTTTCACGTGTCTGTGGGATCAGCGGTGAAGCATCACTGGTGTTTGAGGAGAAATTCATTGTGTAGCAGTTTAGGAGGACTGCAGAAGAACCTTGTTGACAATTTTGGGTGAACCTAGAGTTATACATGATAGTGAGCCTCTAGGAGCAGACCAGAGGTTCATGGTTATCACACATGATGTATAAGGGGAGTGCTTGAATGCTTATTGGCATGTAAGGCACAGTGGAAGGTAAGAGATTGATATTTTTGTATTGGGGAATATTTATGCAGATGTTTCTAGTGTCTCAGCCACAAGCTGTACTTTATATACTTTCAGGACTGATTGTGCGACATTGATGTGACAAGTCGTGTTACAGCCATTGGCTGAATTTTATATATATTTTAGGACTGGTTGTACAATATTTTTACAAAGAGATTTAACCCCACTTAGTGAGGGAGTAGTAAGTGGCACGTCAAGAGTTGAGCAGTCACTTGATATGGACGGTTGGTGAAGCCAGGATCTGGCCAACAAGTCTGGTCAACATGAAGCCAGGATATGGTATTGGATTGCTACCAGGTTGCAGCAGCCTAGTGTTGTATGCTATTGTTTTACTGTTCTTATTTCATGTACTGTATATGTTCTTTTGTTTATTAAATATGTATTGTTGACTGGCTTTTGTACTTGTCCTGGTGAGGCTTCCCAGAAAGCAGAGAGAGAGAGAGAAAAAAAAGGATCACAGCTGTGGACAGGGTGACAGAACGTACTAGTTGACAATAGGGGGATTGGGGAGATCAATCCAAACAAAGAGAGAGTGGGGAGTCACGGCGGCTCAAATAGAGTGTGTGCACAGGACAACGAGGCCAGTGTTGGAACCGCACCCCTAGATATGTGACGCTGAACCCCTCTCCAAGACCAAGAGGCGTACAGGGTGATCTCCTGAGAAAACTTTAAGAACTCCAGAGTTCATTGTTAGTCGACAGGCGGTAGCGGGAGTGTGGCTGCCGAAGTCGGTTGTCTGTTGCGGCAGATAGTGGTTGGGGAACGTTGTCCACCTATACACAAGTAACAGTCTGGTGCAGCAACCAGACCTCTTTTTGGAGGTTTAAGCTCCATTAGCCCCAACCCCCTCAGGTCAGGACACCACATTAAGGGTACTGTACCATAGTAGTCTATGTTCAACTCTCAATTGATGAAGTGATGATTCCGGGTTCAATTTTCAGGTGGGACAAATGGTTAGGTACATTTCCTTTCACCCGATGCCTCTATTTACCTAACAGTTACCCTGGAGTTAGCCAACTGTTGAGGGTTGCATCCTGGGGAAGCCTGTAGTTGTACCTTAAGGGGACCTTGATACAAACACAACACGAGAATTTTTAACCAGCCATCAAGGAAGACCAGTACCATGACCCTGGCAATGAAGCTCCCAGAGTACCATCCACCTCAGCTGGCTGGTACTCTCATAGTCCAGGCACCATCATCAACCTCAAAGTTAGAACCCAAAAGTAAAACTGTGGTGTCCCATTCAACACCCAACTCAATCACTAAACTGAAGGTAAAAAGACAGATGCTACTGGTATCCTCCAAAGTCAGCAATATAAACTAAAACTAGCTTGTAAAATCTTGTGTACTTGGGAAATGGTGAGCATCTGGATTACTGTACTGGAATGAGCTTTGTAAGAATTAGGGGTGAACCAGGGATAAAGAAATTCCTTCTTAGCCACAGGAAACAAGCAGAACAACAACTGTAAGGGAATCAACAGGTGATGCAGCAACTTGACTGCAAATGCAAAGAAAACAACTCACGAGTTGAAGGGTAATGATGAATTTCTGCCAAACATGTTTGGAGTTTCTATTCAACAGAGTGCAATGCTCACAAATTAGCAGGTGCCTGATAGGCCATCACCTGAGGGAAGTTCAGTCAACACAAATATCTAGTGAAGAAATAAACCAGCGTTGGATGTAACGAAACGCCATTTTCTGGGCGAGCCCTGGCGGCTCCCTGGAGCTATCGGACTGATATTAGCTGTGTTAATCTGGGGGCTTCAGTCAATTGGAATTCTGCCTACTGGGGACCATGAGCCAGAACCTGGCACCCTCAGGGAGGGGCAGGGAGCAATGGTGTAAGGAAACCCCACTGTTTTGGGAGTATTCCATGTCTGTCATGGAATAATGAGGCCCATGAGACCCAGCAACCCTAGGAGCAGCCCTGCATGAGCTCTTGTCTCTAAGTCACAAGCAGCAGTCAGACACAAAATAAACACTCCAATTCCAACTAACAAAATGTTTCATTTAAATTATCACCATGCAGATAAAGATTGATAACCCAAATGAATTTTTCATGGATACGATACCAACATCAAATCATATATCAGACGTCACCCTATCCCCACTGGATTTTGAAGAAGTCATAAACAGTATGCCTATGCACTCTGCACCAGGCCCGGATTCTTGGAACTCCATATTCATAAAGAACTGTAAAAAACCACTATCGCAGGCCCTCCACATTCTGTGGAGACAAAGCCTAGATACTGGCGTTATTCCTGATATACTAAAAACAGCAGAGATAGCACCACTTCATAAAGGAGGAAATAAGGCAGAGGCAAAAAATTACAGACCGATAGCGCTAACATCGCACATCATAAAAATTTTTGAGAGAGTGCTAAGAAGTAAAATCACAAAATACATGGAATCACAGCAACTCCATAACCCCGGACAACATGGTTTCAGAACAGGGCGCTCTTGCCTGTCGCAGTTGCTGGACCACTATGATATGGCATTAGATGCTATGGAAGACAAACATAACGCGGATGTAATTTACACAGATTTCGCAAAAGCTTTTGATAAATGTGACCATGGTGTTATTGCACATAAAATGCGTTCAAAAGGAATTACCGGAAAAATAGGCAGATGGATCTACAATTTCCTGACCAACAGAACCCAATGTGTAATAGTCAACAAAATAAAATCCAGCCCATCAACCGTGAAGAGCTCAGTCCCCCAGGGTACTGTACTTGCTCCAGTACTTTTTCTCATCCTCATTTCGGACATAGACAAGAACACAACCTATAGCACTGTATCATCCTTTGCAGATGACACTAGGATCTTCATGAGAGTAGGCAACATAGAGGACACGGCGAACCTCCAGTCAGATGTAGATCAGGTCTTTCTATGGGCTACAGAAAATAATATGGTGTTTAACGAAGATAAGTTCCAGCTCATGCGCTATGGAAAAAATGAAAATATAAAAACGGAAACCACGTACAAAACTCAGGCAAATCATAACATAGAACGAAAAGGCAATGTAAAGGAGCATCCCTGATCTCACAAATATATACCAGTGAGGGCAACAGTGGTAAAGTGAGGTGAGCATGGCATAGTATAACAAAAATATTAAGAAAATATTACCACAAACTAGGTTACCCACTTACTGTTGCACTTTACAGGCCTCACACATCAGCAGGGCACGTCGTAAGTTACGGTTGGACTTTTCAGCAATTTTTTTGGCTAATTCTAGAGGAAGAGAAAGTCCCTCCTTTTTGCATGCACTCTGAAATTTTCAAATATTTTTTTGCTTTAAAATTTGCATATGCAGTAACTATTTCGTAATAAATGATTGATAAATGGGGTCATAACAATACTACACTCTTAGTTTCTGGGGAAGACTTGTAAGCTTTGATGACCAAGAAGAGCCCTGGAGGCAATACAGTAACAAACTCCACAAGGGTATTCTTGAATCATCCTAAATAATTATTCCCAAACCAGTGCAAGCAAGGCACGTATGATTTTTGGGTATGAGTGATTTATTAAGACAAACTTGGTTCTTCAACTGCTTCTCATTAAAATAAGCAAGATTTAAAAAAACAAAAAACCAGCGTTGAATGTAATGAAACGCCATTTTCTGGGCGAGACCCGAATGCTCCCCGGAGCTAATTGGGCTGATATGAATGTATTAGACCCCCTGGCATAAGTCAGTGTGCATGGAGTTCTAGGGATACCAGGGACCATGAGCCAGAACCTGGCCCCCCTCAGAAAGGCACAAGAAGCAATGGCCTATAGAAACCCCCCGTGTGGTTGGAAGTATTCTATGTCTGCCATCGACAGGGTCAGGCACCCAGAAAGGTAAGCGCCCCAAAACAGACCCCTATTTTGGTTAAAATATTGCTACTGAAAGCTGAACTAGTGGACAGAACTCCCCAAATGAAAACGAGCAAATGAGCATGACGTCACCACGTCACCGCGCAGCTGTCTGTGCACCACATCCCCCTTCCCTGCGAGTGGGAAGGGGAAGCCCTAGTCCCCCTCGCTAGCTATCCACACCCCAGTTCTGAGGCTGGATGTCAAAACACGCAAAAAACTGCAGACCGGAGGGAGGGAGGATTGCTGGGGAGCCTCTGGGTCTCACCCAGAAAATGGCGTTTCATTACATTCAACTCTGGTTTTCTTGGGGATCCCCATTGGCTCCCCGGAGCTACTTACCCAAAGATAACACAAGAGGGACATACCAGAGAGGCGGTCGCCACTCACTCCTCAACGCAAAGGCAAGACAACTGGCCGCAACTGTCAACCCAATGCGACTCATGCCCGACCAGGGACAGAAACAATGACTAGGTAGTGAGCAGCCAGAAACCTGTTCGACCTCCAAAAAACCCCATGCCTGAATGTTAACCCAAGACATGCTACCGAAGATAGCAGCAAACATACAAACGGCGTGGGCACGAGGATAGACCGCAGGCTGACTGAACCAAATAACCTGTAGATGATCTGGGAGACCTGAACCCGGAACAGGAAGAAGGGAAACCGGGTCAATCCAAAGCGCATCCCCGGCCACTGAGGCTGTGGCATGCAGGTAACGGCGGAGAGCCACAACCGGACACAACATATGATGCACCCCCGGCCTAACCAACCAAACATCACCCAAGGACCCCTCCGGAAAGCAGCAGTCTCCTCCTTCGCCAGAAAAGAAGGAGACGGCTGCAAACGAACAAACCTACCACCAGGACCAAAAGTACAGAAACCCCTGCGCCGGAAGGAGAGTATGAAGCTCCCCGACCTGATCCTCAGAGGTCAATGTCAACAGCGAAAAAGAGAGCCTTGGAAAAACAATCCTGAACCAAAGGGGCAACCACAAACCGAGAAGAGAGAAAGGAGAGCACCCAGTCCAACAACTAGGACAGTTCAGGCGGCGCATGAGCAGGTCAGAGGTGAAACAACACACAAGACAGCTTGAGGAACGGAGAAGTAACATCCATCCCAAACGCAAGCTGCAGCGGCTCCACCAGAACCGCACGATACGAGGCGGAAAGGAAAGACAGGACAACCCGAACCGAGACAGAAGTAAGCCTACGGAGGGACAAGAAACAATGGAAGGACCGCCAGGAAACTGCATACTGCCGCCGAGACGAAGCACGCAAGTGGGACACCATTATCCCACCTGCGCCATTGAAACTGCGCCAACCGAGAAAACTCTTTTTGATTTTTCCGTACCCATTCTAAATGTGTGCGAGGTTAGTTGTGTACGAAATGGACTCTTAAGACCCTCAGTGAGAGGCAGCCATCTTGGAAAAAATTCCCAGAATGCCCTAGGGCTGCTGGCTGGGTTAGTACTGAATGAGCAACCATGGGTGGCGCGCACGCGCCTCTGGCTCCCAAACACCTGTCCGACGAGGTGTTGAAAGATAACGCTATCGGTAAAATTCAAACCTTATTGTTTGAAAAACATAAGGGTCATAATATTCGTGAAGCTAGGCGCAATAAGGACAGCACCTATGAGGACGATACAGCAAGCGTATCAGTTGTAGCTCTGAGCGTCACCCTTGCAATCCTATGCCATCTCCAATTTATTTAGATGATACAGAGATGAATCGTTTTCTGCGTTCAGTGATGATGCATCTGATACAAGTGGCATAGATAAACAGTGTTAGTGGCTTCCATGGTGGTGTTTTCCATAGATATTTTCAAGAATACCCGAATCTCTTCCTGACTGATGGACACTCTTTGAGGCTAGCTGAATCTCTTTCTGACTGATGGACACTCTTTGAGGCAAGCTGAATCTCTTCCTGTGTGGGACCATACAAAGCGATCTTTTCAAGACTACCTTACAAATTGATCTTTTCCTATAATCTTTTCAATACTACCTTATGCTTTACAAGCTTGGCTACATACAACCTACAAGTACTAAAGCCAAGGGTGTACATGAGTGCGTTATTTGCAAGCACACAGAATGAAGAAACAGGAAGCAAAAATTTATCTGTACCTGGTGCAACGAAAGGGAAGTTGCGCTGTGCACCATGGACTACTTCGTTGATTATTACTCACTTCCGAAGTACTGAGTGTGTAATATAGTGTGTTACTGTGTAAATAGTGTGTGAAACTATATATTGTAATTTTAGTGAATTTTTAACAAGTAATATGCGACAATAAACATTTATTGTAGGACACATTACTGACACATGTATCACAGTTCCATGGAACATTATGAACGTTCTACTGTATACATATTGTAAAGGACACAAATATGCATCATATACGATAAAAAAGACAAATAAAACCGCATTGGAAATACATAGAACAAAATAATTGAAAATATATTTGTGGCAACACTCGGTACTTGAATGGCCCGCGCGACCGTGTCTGGGTGATTCATGCACAGGCGACCAGGCCCTGATGACATCACAGCGCACCTTGTCCACGTCCCCACAGCCAAAGTAAGTGGAATTTGGTATTTATTTTTACATAAACATGTTCAGGGAAGGACATTTATCATTTTACGAAGAAAAATTAATTTTTTGGGAACACTTTATTTCATGCACACGGGGGGAATTTCACAATAAACTCGGCGCAGCACGGTGGTTAATGAAACCACCTGATCACCAAACAATTGGTGATAGACCCGCGTCAAAAGACCAGACGCGAAGACTCGTGGAGAAGATCGAACCAGTTACGTAACGGACAGGTCCAATCTGCTGAAAGAGGTGGAGCTGCGGTTAGACCCTCGGGTTCGGACACCGAGCAAGCAGCGCCTGAAACCAAGGCTGGGCAGGCCACCAAGGAGCCAAGAGGACTACTCTCCCTTGGTAAGTCTCAAAGCGAGCTAGGACCTGGAGCAACAGCTGAACCAGGATGAAGAGGTACAGGTAACCCCGCCTCAACCAGTCCAACCGCAAGGCATCGACCTTAAGAACTCAGCAGACGAGTCACCATTCGGAGCAGTCCGAATGGAGCTGGATTGTCGATCCGCGAGCGACCCGAACCCTTCGAAGCACCATCCACAACGCCGCAAACTCCCACACCTCGCTGTGGACCCAACGGAAGGACAGACCCCACCGCCCCTGGCCGGCCTGGTGAGCACTGGTCACATAGCCCCAGCCACGAGTCCGTGAACACATTGGGCGAGGGGCGAGAATAGGCGCCAAGGCACTGAACCCCGAAAAAACCCGAAGAGGAAGCCAGCAACGCAGCAACTGATGCAAGGCCCCCGGAAGCTGAACCCAGCGATCGTGAGAGAGGCAGAAGGGACATCCCCGAATGACCAAGACCAGCTGATGAAGCCAAACCCGTGTGTGTGAAAATCAGGTAGACCATCATGGCAAAGATCAGGCTCCTGCACAAACCCTCGAGCAACCTCCGCCTGACCCAGGAGCCACCCAGAACAGGTGAAGGAGGGACTGCAGATAAAGCAGAGCCTTCCGTGGGAGAGACAAGGAAGCAGAATGAGTGTCCCACACAAGTCCCAGCCAAGACCGAACCTGAGAGGGAACCAGGTAGGACTTCTGCCAGTCCACCAGGAACCCGAACCCGGTGACCTGGGAAAGAACCAAATCCCTCGCAATTGTCTGCCCAGTTGAGCAGACACGCAGATCAACTGGGAGCCCACACCCGCCTGTCGTCGAGGTAGGCCAGAACTTGAACTCCTAAAGAAGCAGACAGACCACTACAACCCGGGTAAGGCATGTGAAAACGCGAAGAGCCAGATTCAAGCTGAAAGAAAGACAAAGAAAGCGAGAACCCCAACGCTGGATGAATCGGGACGAGCCAATACGTGTCCCTGAGGTCCAGGGACACCATCCAAGCGCCCAGCTCCAAAAGGAAGTGGACCTGGGACAGAGTAATCATCCAAAAGTAGGGGACAATAAATCCACGGGTTCAGACAGGACAAGTCTAGAATGAACCCGAGATCCGCAGTCGCATTTCGGAACCGGAAACAGGCAGGAAACCCACCGGAGGGACGAGGTCGTTTCAACCATGCCCAAGCAATCCCACTCCGAGACGACCCGACAAAGCGCAGGAGAAGAGGCCTGCCCTGCCAACCCCAGAACCTCCTGAAGGAAGAGGGGCCACCCAATGCCATCGCAGGCCGCATGAAATGACCCAAAAGGCTCACAAATTGTGGGACCAGGCGAGAGCAAATGGCATGAGCCTCCCCCCTCCCTCATAGCCCCATCAATGAGACGAACCGTGAAAGGGCTTCACGGTTCATGGTGTGGGTGTATGTGTGGAGGGTGTCAGGTGTGGGCTTGGTGGGTGTATGTGTGGTGGGTGACTGATGAGTGGGTGGTGGGTGACTGGGGTATGGATAGTCGGCACAGGGGTCTGGGGCTCCCCTTTCCTCTCCCTACCTCGGTGACATCATGTTCGTTTGCTCGTTTTTATTTGGGAAGTTCTGTCCAATAGTTCGGCTTTCAGTAGCAATATTTTAACCAGAATAGGGGTTTGTTTTGGGGCGATTACCTTTTTGGGTGCCTGACCCAGTTGATGGCAGACATATAATGCTTCCAACCACACGAAGGTTTCTATAGGCCATTGCTCTTCGTGCTTCTCTGAGGGGGAGCCAGGTTCTGGCTTGTGGTTCCCGGTAGGCCTAGAACTCTATGCGCATTAATTGATGCCAGGGTCTAATACATTCATATCAGCCCAGTTAGCTCCGGGGAGCCGATGGGGCTCCCCCCACCCCCCAGAAAAACAGCATTGAATGTAATGAAACATCAATTTCTGGATGGACCCTGGTGGCTCCCTGAAGCTACTAACAGTGATAATGTATCATCGACTAGCTCACAGCAGCTGCATAATTCTATAGTCCTACCGGGAACCAGTGCCAGAACCTGGCCCCACTCGGAGGTGCAGTGGTTATAAAGTTTGTAGTTATGTATATGAAAGACATCTTTTTAGTATCTTTAATCTTCTTTTCCTACCCATATTGTTCTCATTCCTCTAGGCTTTAACCCTCTGCCCTATTAATGTGGAAAATGGAGTAATGACACTGAAATTCCGGTCTTGAACGATCTCATGAAATGTCTCGGGATATTTGTCAGCACCAGATGTGTTAACCTGCTTTCTCTCCCTGCTTACTGTTATCTGCTTAATACCAGGATGACTTAAGGAAATTCACTGCCTTCTGCCTGAATGGCCATCTTGCCACATCCCTTCCCCCCCCTCCCGTCCACCTCTGCCTGTGCCATTCCAATACTCCATCATCAACACACTTTAATTTAGCCTTATTTGCTCTCTTCATTTTTTTGTACACTACAACTATAAACATAATAATATCTAACCTGAAGCACTTGGGCCACAGTCTCGGAGGATGGCGCAGCAACTCTCACGCCTAAGCACCGACTGCGGATGGCTGGAATCACCTTGGATGTAGAATTGGCACAGAGAATCAAACGGCAAGTAGTCATATATTTCTCCATTGTCCGACGAAGGGCATGCTGGGCATCTTTGGTCAGCTTATCAACTTCCGTCAAGACCACCACTAGAGGAGAGATCTTAATTTATTGTGTGCAACACAAGAAAACCAGAACAAACGAGTCTGCTAAAGTAACCTGTAGTACTCAAATCATTTGTCAATTACTCAATTCATATACTGTACAGTTAAAGCATAGTTGTCCAAAAATTATCTATCCACACTTCCAATTCCCAATAATAAATACCATAAAAACAGTTCAACATAAGTCAAGTACGAAATGGGCATTTCTTGCCTCTTTTTAAGCCCAATCGTGATACATGTGACAATCTTGCCATTCACTTTGGAAAAATGAATCAAACTGTGAAATATTCATGACAGCAACGTAGACAATCTACAATTCGCTTACTGTATATAAATACTGGTACAGTAATTTATATCAGAAATATGATTTACACTATATTTTTATTAAAGAGTTTACCTGAGAAAAATATTCAGTAATGTCTTGAAATACAGTACTGTCCAGTAATTTCAATACACACTATAATTACAGTAAATTATAATTATTATGCATTACAACACAACCTCAAGTAATACTGAATAATGAATAGAGGTCATATTTAAACTAGAACAATTATATGAATAGAGGTGATATTTAAACCTAGAATAATTATATGTACTTAATAACTATCTCAATGACACACTGCAAACAGTTGGGCTATTTGGAGGCTGGCAGGAGAGAGAGCTCAGAGTGTCTTCCCACGATAATAGGAATAAGTGCGACACAGTTATACACAGGCCCTGTTGGGAGGTCAATAGGAAGAAATAGGTGAGCAAAGGGAATGGGTGAGGAATGGTGGAAACATCAGTGTTTCTCTAGACAACACTGGGGGGATGGGTGAGGAATGGTGGAAACATCAGTGTTCCTCTAGACAATAACACTGGGGGATGGGTGAGGAATGGTGGAAACATCAGTGTTTCTCTAGACAACACTGGGGGGATGGGTGAGGAATGGTGGAAACATCAGTGTTTCTCTAGACAACACTGGGGGGATGGGTGAGGAATGGTGGAAACATCAGTGTTTCTCTAGACAACACTGGGGGGATGGGTGAGGAATGGTGGAAACATCAGTGTTTCTCTAGACAACACTGGGGGATGGGTGAGGAATGGTGGAAACATCAGTGTTTCTCTAGACAACACTGGGGGGATGGGTGAGGAATGGTGGAAACATCAGTGTTTCTCTAGACAACACTGGGGGGATGGGTGAGGAATGGTGGAAACATCAGTGTTTCTCTAGACAACACTGGGGGGATGGGTGAGGAATGGTGGAAACATCAGTGTTTCTCTAGACAACACTGGGGGGATGGGTGAGGAATGGTGGAAACATCAGTGTTTCTCTAGACAACACTGGGGGATGGGTGAGGAATGGTGGAAACATCAGTGTTTCTCTAGACAACACTGGGGGGATGGGTGAGGAATGGTGGAAACATCAGTGTTTCTCTAGACAACACTGGGGGATGGGTGAGGATTGGTGGAAACATCAGTGTTTCTCTAGACAACACTGGGGGGATGGGTGAGGAATGGTGGAAACATCAGTGTTTCTCTAGACAACACTGGGGGGATGGGTGAGGAATGGTGGAAACATCAGTGTTTCTCTAGACAACACTGGGGGGATGGGTGAGGAATGGTGGAAACATCAGTGTTTCTCTAGACAACACTGGGGGGATGGGTGAGGAATGGTGGAAACATCAGTGTTTCTCTAGACAACACTGGGGGGATGGGTGAGGAATGGTGGAAACATCAGTGTTTCTCTAGACAACACTGGGGGATGGGTGAGGATTGGTGGAAACATCAGTGTTTCTCTAGACAACACTGGGGGGATGGGTGAGGAATGGTGGAAACATCAGTGTTTCTCTAGACAACACTGGGGGGATGGGTGAGGAATGGTGGAAACATCAGTGTTTCTCTAGACAACACTGGGGGATGGGTGAGGATTGGTGGAAACATCAGTGTTTCTCTAGACAACACTGGGGGGATGGGTGAGGAATGGTGGAAACATCAGTGTTTCTCTAGACAACACTGGGGGGATGGGTGAGGAATGGTGGAAACATCAGTGTTTCTCTAGACAACACTGGGGGGATGGGTGAGGAATGGTGGAAACATCAGTGTTTCTCTAGACAACACTGGGGGGATGGGTGAGGAATGGTGGAAACATCAGTGTTTCTCTAGACAACACTGGGGGATGGGTGAGGAATGGTGGAAACATCAGTGTTTCTCTAGACAACACTGGGGGGATGGGTGAGGAATGGTGGAAACATCAGTGTTTCTCTAGACAACACTGGGGGGATGGGTGAGGAATGGTGGAAACATCAGTGTTCCTCCAGTTTACACAAGGATGGGTGACTGCTCTATCTACAAAAATCTAAAAAAATAAGTGCAAATAATAGCTAAGCAAATACTGTACAGAAGAGGTTGGGAATGACACGAAGGAGATTTAAGGACCTTATATTCAAATCCAGTAGTAAAATGTTTGGCTGGGAGTACTTTGCTTTGTGGGAAAGTGTACCTTTAAATTCTCGTTGGCCACTGGTGTCCAGCTGCTGTGCAGACGCTACAGTTTTAATGAGTTCCTGAATCACAACTCGGTCATAGAAGCCAACATCGCTGGGATTTACTTCTAAGTGGTAGTTGCTGGCAATAGTTACAATTTCCAACTTCTTTTTGGAGGGACTCTGATGGAAAAAACCAGCATTGAATGTAATGAAACGTCAATTTACATAATTATTTCCATGTCTGTGAATGTTTTTATCTAGTTTTTTTGCAGCAATATTATTCAAAAGTGTTTAATTTTTGGATTTTATCTAGTTAAATGTGTGAAATATCGCTATGCTCAAAAATATGGTGCTCTTATATGTAGTGACACGTATACAGTATTATATTCTCAGATCAAACAGTTTTTTTTTTATTGCATTACTGTATTTATACAAGTTATATATTACCATCAACATGATTATGCACAATAATAAACTAAAAAGCAGGTGTGGTGGGTGTGGTGATGAAATCAAAACACAGCATGGAGCCATATGATATGAGCAGACTAACACCAGCAATCACTAATGCAAAAAAAATGCTTCCAATATTCTACACATTTTCCTATGACTAGCCACAGAACTGCTGTTATTATCATACTCTTGTCACAAAATCCCAAATATGAATCCATTTCCACAAGGTTATATTGTGAAGGAACATGAAATTGTTTCATGATGTGTAGATGCAGGAAACAATGGCTGGGGGCTGTGTCTTTACCTCATGCTGTGAATATCATAACTAATATTGTATTCACTGATATCTGAATGTTGTACATAGTCTTTATCACAGTCAGGATCATCTATGACACAATCAATGCAAAATAACTGCAGTTACCTATTTTATTCATTACTAAGTGGTGCTGTGGCCCTAGTTGCACAGCGGTTCTGTGAGCTGTAGCTGCATGCTCCAGCCTTAGTCGCTCTCTCAGTACTGAGGCTCTCACAGCCAGTACAGATGCTGACAAATTCTTTTTAGGATGGTGTCTATATACTGGAGCCCTGGGGCACAGGACATGAGCTGCATGCACTCACATGAGTTTTGAATCATTCCCTATACCTAGAAACACCTTAAGGTGATATGTGCACCACCAGTCGAGCACCTTATGCACACCACCAGTCGAGATCAGCACCACCGGTACAAGAGCCTTAAGGAGCTATGAGCAGTGAATAATGTGGCCATAATCCTTTTAACCTTAGCACAGCACATAGACATACCGATAGGCAAATGTTTGGGGAGCCCTAGTAGTCCATCAGGAAGGCAAGCACTGGCCCCTAACCCACACAGAGAACACTGGGTAGTCAAGGCAAAAAACACAGCTGCTCCTAAACTCATACCCAAATGGGCAAAATGCAGTCTTTCAATGCCCTCCAGCAAAGCCGGGGCCAGCCACCCCACTATGCCCTGAAAGCACACCACATGCTCACCAAGACCAACCAACTCCCGGCACCTCTCGACCAAGCTAGCACTAGACACCGTCTCCCCACCCGAAGAACCAGCAAGAAATCTTATAAAAATCCATCAACTTTCCCGTGATCACAGGAGATAAGTGATCCAGGCATCGTAACAATCTGAATCACCGAATAGGAATGTGTGACAGCAATATTGAGACCCAACGGATAAAATTGCATCACATGATCTGGCAGCCCCCCAGGGGAAAGCAGATGTCCAGATGTCCATTCGTCATCAAGGTTCCACCAGGAGTCCATGCAATGTGTATAGTATCTCATTGTAGCTGCCTGACGACTTAAAAATTAACTAAAGGGAACCCTGTCAACACTATAAAATAGAAGTACAGCTACAAGAGAAACTTACTCAGCATTTGCTTACCAAACACCTCAGCTTAGATGATGGTGAAGGGCAAGGGAAAACATGAACGAATCAAAAAGAAAGAAAAGAAGTCATTCATTTCTAAAGAAACATCAAATTACCTGTATTGTAGTTTGCACTGAGTCACCCCAAACAAGGCTATGTGCACAAACTGGAAATATGTTGTGTTAATACACAAACCCAGCATCAAGGACTTGGCTTGGGTAACACTGTTCCAAAGACTACCCAACAATAGGGTAGTTCAGTAACACTGAAGGTTACTGAACTACCTCACAGGAAACATACCTGGTGGCAGTTAGTCTTCAACAATCAGCACCAGGGAAGAAAACCTTGACATGAAGCCAGTGTATGAGAAAGTTTAGTGAAATACAAAACAAGTGGGCACAACTTCGTGATGCAAACAGCACAGAACTCCCCTGAGCAGAGATCAATTCTCAAAGAATAACCAGTTAAATTAGCCAACTCTCTCTCTGCAGAACAGCATGCTTTGCTTGGTGAGCACCAGGTACAAAGTGTAGGCGTGGCCACCTACCCCCAACCTGGTTGCACTAACTAGTGTTGTCACCTGGTTGTGGCTGGTATAGGGGTTAGTTGCTAGTTATGTTGTTCCAGAACCATTAATAGCTATCTTACTGGAGGTCCCAATGATAATTCAGAATGGGGTGTTGAATGGTTTGATGTGTTTTGATGTCACAGCATGGACAGTCTTCAATGATGGATTGAGGTAAGGTCGCCACTGTGCTCCCTGGACCATGGGAAAAACACTTAAAAAGTGGGCTCAAATTCATTCAAGGCCTGTCATAATAACAATGGTAAGTATGATATACCTGTACATATTTTGTGCTTCCCAAGTGTTAATCCACACACAGCTTCAGTAAACCACAGAGGCTTACTGTTCATCACACACACTTCCAGCAGACCACAGAGGCTTACTGTTCATCACACACTTTCAGCAGACCACAGAGGCTTACTGTTCATCACACACTTTCAGCAGACCACAGAGGCTTACTGTTCATCACACACTTTCAGCAGACCACAGAGGCTTACTGTTCATCACACACACTTCTCCAGCAGACCACAGAGGCTTACTGTTCATCACACATATCTCCAGCAGACCACAGAGGCTTATGTTATACCAGTGGTAGTCCACAACTCTAGCAGACCAGCAGGGAAATTCAATACAAGTGTGTCAAGTTTAATAAACAACTGGTGAAAGAGAAAACTCACTTCAAAATTTTGATGTTCAATTCTAAGTCTTTCCACACCGGGTCCATATAGTTCCCGAAGCAGGCACATAATACGCGTTTTCTTTCCAGCTCCCGAAGGCCCATAAATGAGCAGGTGGGGAAAATCACCACATTCAACCTGGAAACACAATTATATATGCATATTTCAATAACAACTACACAAGAATAGTATATACATAATACATTGTATTATATTATTATAATTAGTATAGTAGTTATATTAGTATAAACATTAGCAATACAGTACTGTATTCACAATATTCCTACTAAATTTTTAACTTCAACTGCCTGTGAAGTTAGATTCTTTAGCAATGGCACTGTAGTAGGCCTACTGACCCATGCAAGGCCAGTTTTGACCTGGAGATACCTGCAGAGGGTTTCGGGAGTTCTACTCTCCGAGCCCGGTCTGGGGTCCAAGCTCGCTCCTATTCCTACTCAACCATTTTCACTCAAAACGTTACTTTAACACTTTCGCGCCTAGGGCATACGCGCTGCCAACTTAGAGGCCACGCCCCTGGCGTACAGGCGATTGTGCGGGCGAGCACGCGGCGACACCGAAATGTGTATACTCGTTTCAGTTTTCTCACCTAAATTCTCGTGCTACGTAGTTCGTTTTGGTATCATTGTGTTTGCAATAGAATTCCCTACAGGTGTATATGCATATAATGTCCAAAAGCCCGGCGTGACTCCCCGCAGCAAAGCCTAAAATCGGCAAAAGTTACCCGTGAGCGCACAAAATCCGTAAAATGTGTATACGTGTTTCAGTTTTCTCACCTTAATTCTCGTGCTACGTCTTTCGTTTTGGTATCATTGTGTTCGCATTTAAATTCCCTGTACGTATATATATGCATATAATGTCCAAAAGCACAACGTGACTCCCCGCAGCAAAGCCTAAAATTACCCGTGAACGAACACCAATTTGCACACCTCAGCCTAATGTATATACTCGTTCAGTTTGATAACATCAATTTTTGTGTTACGTCTTTCATTTTGATATCAAATTGTTCGCAATATAAAGGCGGGTACAGTACAACCTCGATTCAACGTACTATATGGGACCAACCCCAGTTCGTTGGAGCGTTGGATTCGTTACAAGAGGTGACCTTCAGGAGGCGTTTGTGTCAGTGTCTTTTTTTTTCTTGTACACAATAAAAATGCATTATCATATTACATACTCTACCTATATATTACTTCTCTACTAAAAAATACTGTAATTCATAAATTTACCTTATTGTTGAAGTTATGTCCATCTTGAAGTTTCGTGAAGTTGTGAATGCTCTACATTAAATACGTACTGCAGTGCATTATGCCGTTAGCACTGTGTTGATTAAAAGTAGTTCTGCTGTATGTTGAGTACTACAATACAGTATATGAAAACTATTGTACACTAAAATTACTGCAACTTTAATTTTAACACTGTACACACTTAAATTTAACACTTGTTCTAACTGTTCACGCTGCACACGATGTTTTTAGATGTTTGCATCAGCTTTGCTGGTGCTCGCTGCTGCTGTGGGTTCAGCTGCTTCTGAGCTGTTGTACCAGTGCTGGGTACAACTGTGCTTGTGCTGGGTATGGCTGTTGTACCAATGCTAGGTACAACTGTGCTCGTGCTGGGTACGGCTGTTCTCATGCTGGGTACGGCTGTTCTCGTGCTGGGTTCGGCTGTTCTCGTGCTTGGTACAGCTGTTCTCGTGCTGGGTACGGCTGTTCTCGTGCTGGGTACGGCTGTTCTCGGTCTGGGTACGGCTGTTCTCGTGCTGAGTACGGCTGTTCTCGTGCTGGGTACGGCTGTTTTCGTGTTGGGTACGGCTGTTCTCGTGCTGGTTGATTTTCTGCTACTAGTTCTTGCAAAATATTGCTTCATTTTTGGCATTAATAAGGCACTATTAGTAGCCCCCGAGACATTTTGTTTTATAACCAAAGAGCTGTAGTAAAAAAATGGTCAATTCCATGATTATTCTTCCACCGGCGGATAAATACTGTACGTCAATCGCAGACAAAGCTAAGGGCACTGGGTGCATACTGTACGAACGCAGACTAAGTCTATACGTACACCCTTCAGTAGGCTGGTGTTTAAGCCTGATCCAGTAACATAAATTTCTCTTAAATATTCGATTTACATCAAATTATATATTTTTGGGTTATATATTTAGTTTAGCAACATTATTACGATAATAAAAAATACTTATTTTGGAACTGATTTATTAATTTTATTATTTCAAAGCCGTAGGTCACTGAACTGTGGCGACGAAATCGAACAAAACACTGCCTGGTGTTGTGTTCGATTTCCAGTAACATATATTTCTCTCAAATATTCAATTTACATCAAATTATATATTTTTGGGTTACATATTTAGTTTAGCAACATTATTACGATAATAAGAGCTATAAAAAATACTTTGGAACTGATTTATTAATTTTATTATTTTGAAGCCGTAGATCGCTGAACTGTGGCAACGAAATCGAACACAACAAGCATGGTGTTGTATGGACCGAGATTAGACCTGTCAACTCGTGCTGGAGTTGTGCTGCCAATAACGTGAATAATTTCTCAAATAGGAGATATTTACCTTATTACATACAGTATATTTTTGGTTTTATTTAGTTTAGTTTAATTAGGATAATAAAGAGTTATTAAAACACCAGTTTTAGAAATGATTTATTAATGTAAACGTTCAAAGCCATGTCACTGAACTATGACAACACAAACGAAAGTGAGTGAAACCTCATTGTAAAGTGAGGTTTACTGTAAGGTTTTCTAAGAGAAGTTCCGGATCAGCCGGGCTGTGATGGGTACGTGGCCCTGCGGGCCGCTCCAAGCAACAGCCTGGTGGACCAAACTCTCACAAGTCGAGCCTGGCCTCGGGCCGGGCTTGGGGAGTAGAAGAACTCCCAGAACCCCATCAACCAGGTATCAACCAGGTACAGTATTCCCTTATCTGTCCACCCTCACTCGTCTTGTTTCATCACAGAAAATGTATATAAGAAGATTTCAACATATTAGCTACCTATTCACGCTTCAGCCTTTAAATTAATTTTCAAAGATATGTGTGCCACAAATCGGTGAACGAAAATCATTGAAACTCAGTTGTTCACTTGTGTGGACGACTCTGGCTGGTGTTTGGTTAATATGCGTCACTTCTTGTGGACCATTCTGGCTGGTGTTTGGTTCATATGATTCACTTGTTGTGTGGTCCACTTGTGTGATCCAACTTGTCTTATGAAGGAATTATTAATTGTAATCTGTGATAGAATGAAACAGTTTTCCACCACTCTGTGAACTCTGTCCCAACATCGTAAGCTTGTGGACCAATTGTGGTCCACTTGTGTGGTCCACTTGTGTGGTCCATTTGTGTGATCCAACTTGTCATATGAAGGAATTATTAATTGTAATCTGTGATGGTATGGTAAAGTTTTCTACCACTGTGAACTCTATCCCAACATCGTAAGCTTGTGGACCACTTGTGGACCACATGTGCGGTCCACTTGTGTGGTCGACTTGTGTGATCGAACTTGTCATATGAAGGAATTAATAATTGTAATCTGTGATAGGATGTGAAAGTTTTCCACCAGTCTGTGAACTCTGTCTCAACATCGTAAGCAAATCCGAACATCCCCCGCTTCGGCGAACCATTGTTCGTCGAACCGGGTGAGTAAATCCGGCCTGAAAAGTGTGCGAACTAGCCGGAGATTCGTTGAATCGGGGTACGTTGAATCGAGGTTGTACAGTATTTTAACACTACAGTATTCCCCATAATAATAGAGCAATAACTGGTATTTTAACAAATATTTTAATTTTGGACGCTAATCATCACAAAATTATTCATATCTTTCCAGTGTTCTGACATAAATTTTTGTGTTACATCTTTCATTTTGGTATCAAGTTGTTCACAATCTAAAGGCATGCATTTTAAAACTAGTCCCATAATAATAGCACAATAAATAGAATATTAACCACTGCACTGCGCAAAGCGCCTTTAGGCGCTCAGAGAGTTGTGCTTTTTGTTTTTTAATTTGGCTATATTTTAATGTTTTTTAATGTTTTCATTACTATTTGTGTTTTGAAATGGAAATATTTGACTTTGGAAACATTTTGACATTAAATTTACCTGAACATTTGTAAAAATAACAAAAATATGTCCTTGTCAATTGCACCAAGACATTTTTGCCGAAAATAGGTGAGCAGTGTAAGGGTTAACAAATATTTTAAAATTTTGACTAAAAATGTATTTATAATCTTTCAAGTGTTCTGGCATCAAGTTTCGTGTTACATCTTTCATTTTGCTATCAAATTGTGCGCACTCTAAAGGCGCTCATTTTGAAACTATCCTGAAGTCGATCGGATAATAAATGAATTTTATACAAATATTTTTTTATCAGACACAAGACCTGTCCAATGCTCGGACTCAAGTGAAAAAAATCGGACGCAAGTCACATTCGAAGAGTGCTATAGTGTTAAAAACACAATATAATAACTGTCATAACTGCAAGAAAAATTATTGAATGAATAACAAGAACCTTTCAAACAAGAAACACCAAACCAATGATGGTACTTTTTTGAACGCTTGGCCGCCACAAGCCAGTTATCCCTGTGGTAACTTTTTTTGACACCTCTTGCTTAAAACTCCTAAAGTTTTAAAAGGCCACTAATACTGTATGGTGGAATGTTGCTGCACATTAACTGCTTCATTTAAGATGGAGAAAATGCTGACCGAGGGAATACACAGAGAGCAATTTTTTCCATAAATACACTCAATAAAACATCTAAATTACAATAACTACTTAAAATTCTTCTGTACATCCTGGAATGCATGCATGCAGAGAAACATGAAAATTTGGAAAATATTAGAGACTGTTTCCAAATCTAATTGCAAAATAATTTCTAACAAGATTAGGTAGCAAGGCATAATGTGCAAAATAACTCCATTATAAACTAGGAATGTAACACGTACAATACAAGAGTTGTATAAACTTTAAAGGTTCAAAGCTGGATAACACCCTCCCTCTAAATAAAACTAATACTGAATCTTCTAACTTCTAACTGTTCTCAAGAGTGAACTGAATAAACACTTGCAACTTTTTTTTAGGAATTTAATAACCTGAGTGAACCACAGTTGGTTGAGGTTATGTCATCTTGCGAGTCACAAATACAAACAGCTTCATTTACCAGAAAATCACCAAAGAAGGCTGGCCCTAGGCCAGGCTGTGAGAGGATAACTATCAAAATTGTCTACACATAAGCTACAGTTCTGGTGCTTAATACATTAATACAAGACATTGTACAGTAATTTTTTTGAATTGAAGGATAAATTTAGGATGAGACACTGGAAGAAGTAATGAGTTTGAAATATTTGGAGGCAGTATTACATAAAAAAGAGATAATGGAAGGTGAAGTACACATGGACAAGTACAAGAAGGTCCTTGAACATGTTAAACAACAGGTCTCTGCTCATACTCTCATGTGTTTTCTATATCTATAAAACTCTGAATTGCAATGCTAATAATCCTGACCTTAAGCATTTCCTAGAAGGAAACATCACTACATGAGAAACAAATATCTCATTGATATTCCTAGTGAGACTCAACCAAAGCAGAAATGCAATCCAAATCAAGGGTCTCAAATGGTGGAATAACCTCCCAAATGTAATTAAAAGCTGTACGTCTCCCAACCAGTTTAAAAGAGACTAGGAAATATTTACTTAATATGGTGTTATTATCTTATAATTAAAACTATGTAACTAGTTTCACTCACATTTTCTCTTGTAATAAGTTATTTTTGTGTTACTCTTACCTTACATCTTTATTTACTAAGTATTATGTACTTTTCTACATTCATTGTCATCTAATTTCTTGTATTTCTTTGTTAAAGTGTATACTCATGTCCTTTATGTTCCTTGTTTATTTTTGGTGTTGGCCTCATTAACCTTAAATTACTATTTTATTATGTGTTCTGTTAAGTTAAAATTAACATAACCTTAAATTAACCATCAACCTTAAATTGCTATTTTATTATGTGTTCTGTTATGTTTAAAGAAAATGTTATGAGAAAGAGACTAGTTGCTTTTCTAAACTACACCTTGTATTTTCATTATATTATTAATGTAAATAAACTACTGGACTATTGCTACATGTACAGTCTCCATAATGTAAAAGTCTATGCCTGTCATCCTTAAGTATCACCTGTTTTGCATTCATTTGTTATTATCCATGAACATCCTCGTTTTGTTAGCTTACTTCTCCTTTAGTATCAGGTGTTCTATCTCCTCACACTTTTAGTTAAAATTGTTAAGTTTATTTATATTTTGCCCGAAATGCTTTGCATATTAGTGGCTTCATTAGTATGTGTATTCCTGTCCCTACAATTGTACATTACTCTTATGTTCTTTGTATGCACATTCTCCTGAATAAAGATTATCATTAATCTTGGTGACGCTCTATTACTCTCTCATCTATCCTTATCTCAACCTGCACACAGAAATAACATCACATGAGACCAGAAGACATGGCAGGATGTGCAGAATACCCCCGTTGAAAAACAGAGGTGCAACAGGTACTCTGAGAGAGAACTATCAACATCAGAGGTCCGAGACTGAACACGCTTCTACTACACATAAGGGACATAACTGGCACCCCTCACAGTGTTCAGAGAGAACTCAACATCAGAGAGACTGTTCAACATGCTTCCACTACACATAAGGGGCATAATTGGCCGACCCCTCATAGTGTTCAAGAGAGAACTGGATAAGCACCTCCAAAGGATACCTGATCAACCCGGCTGTGACTCATACGTCAGGCTGCGAGCAGCCGCGTCCAACAGCCTGGTTGATCAGTCCGGCAACCAGGAGGCCTGGTCGATGACCGGGCCGCGGGGACGCTAAGCCCCGGAAGCACCTCAAGGTAACCTCAAGGTATGGTATTTGTGCTTGGGGTTCTACTACCCAAAATCAATTACGTCCTCTAATTACCTAACACAAAGCTGCTATTAGAACAATATCTAACTCTGGCCCCAGACAGCACTCGGTACCCCTACTCAAATCTCTGAATATGTTAGATATTAAGTCACGGCACATCCTCTCTTGTGTACTCTATATATTTAAAACTCTGAATTGTAATGTCAATCGTGACCTTAAAAGCTTCCTAGAAGGTTATAACAGAACCCATGAGCACCACACCAGAAACAAATACCTATTTGATATTCCAAGAGTACGACTTAATCAAACTAGAAATGCTCTATAAATCAAGGGGCCCAGAATGTGGAATGACCTTCCCAGTCATGTTAAAGACTGTACCTCTCTCAACCAGTTTAAGATAAAAACTAAGTACTACCTAATTAACTCCTGTAACCTACCTTACTTCTAAATGTCAACCCATGTCTTACTATTTTTAAACAATGCTGTTTGTTGACCAACTTGTATATTGGCTATTTTCTACCATGTTCCCCCCCCACCTTTTTTTTTTTATCTTATTTTATTAATTTTTTTTAACGCAAATCATACTTAAAGCTCAATTAGTTTTATTTTTTTTTTTTTTTTTTTTTTTCTCAATTAGTTTTATTTTTTGTGGTTTTGTCAATTATTAGTTTTAGTTAAAGTGTTTTTTTCCCCACCTCACCTTGCCCGAAACGCTATGCGTATTAGTGGCTTTAGGTATTGTATGTACTAGCTCTATCTTTTTTTTTTGAGATATATACAAGAGTTGTTACATTCTTGTACAGCCACTAGTACGCGTAGCGTTTCGGGCAAGTCCTTAATCCTATGGTCCCTGGAATACGATCCCCTGCCGCGAAGAATCGTTTTTTCATCCAAGTACACATTTTACTGTTGCGTTAAACAGAGGCTACAGTTAAGGAATTGCGCCCAGTAAATCCTCCCCGGCCAGGATACGAACCCATGACATAGCGCTCGCGGAACGCCAGGCGAGTGTCTTACCACTACACCACGGAGACTGCATAATTATGTTTGTAAAACAACTATGTATGTTCTTTCCTGAATAAAATTTACTTTACTATTATATAGAGGATAATGAGTGAGATAGGTAAGAGGTGACTAGTATAATAAAGGTATGTAGGACAGCATGTTAGGACAGGATTGAAAGATAGTATATTGCGGAAGGGAAAAGTAGTAGAACATTGGAGAAAAAGAGTGGGTGAAATTTTCTTCACGGAAATGACTTCACAGAAGGCCATTTTCAAGAGGAAACTAGATTTATTCCTCCAAGGAGTGCCGGACCAACCGGGCTGTGGTGGGTATGTGGGCCTGCGGGCCGCTCCAAGCAACAGCCTGGTGGACCAAACTCTCACAAGTCAAGCCTGGCCTCGGGCCGGGCTTGGGGAGTAGAAGAACTGCCAGAACCACATCAACCAGGTAAATAGCACCACTCACCAGCTTCCTAAGGTGGTTGGCTTGCTCCAGGTGGTAGTCTAATTTACTCAGCTCCTTCGGCCGGTACTTGTCAACCCACAAGCTCATTGTTATCCTTCCAGCTGAGGAAGGTCAAAGAAAAGACCAGTAAGCCTCTACACCGCCCAAAAACTTTCAGAGTGAATAATAAATAAGAGGCCGACAAAACCACTGCGCGGGAAATATTTAATAAACAACCCTACGTAAACACGAGCCTAATATTATCCCAGATAATTCTGGTGGAATACGAGCCTAGAACAGTTCCATCGCTGATGCTTTTACTTTTGGTCTTCATGCCTGAAATAAATTTCTTATAATGTTTAGTAGATATGGGCTAAATTATATGCTGAGACAATATTGAATGAAGACATGTATATAGGTGTAACAGCCATATCACAAATTTTATAGCAGCTATTTAAATTATCCCACAAAATTCCACGTATCCCACTTACGACTAATAAAATCTGCAACATATTTATTCAATATCCCCACAGATTTAATAATATTAATAATAATTCATTGTGTTGGGAATAATAATTACAGGCAGCCACTGTATATATAAATGCTTATATCGAGGTTTCACCCCCACTCCCTGGTCAAAGATGGTTGCAAAAAGGATAAAATATCTGAAATCCTTGCACTGGATAGGAGGATGGGCTGCTGTATCCATATTTCGCTTCCAGTAGATAAACAACATATGGGCTTAAGAAGCAAGTAGTGTATTGTGAGGATAAATAAATAACAAACAGCAGCTTCCCCGTGGCCCTGTAATATCTCCATAGCACAATTATGTATCAACGACAAGACCTACCATCAATGTATATGATTAACTGTAAATACATTGCTATAGAAATGAAACATTCTCTGTAACTAGCTGATATTGTAATTGTAAGGTGTGAAGGATAGATGAAATTGTTAGTGTAATAATCTCCGTTGAGGTCAGATAAAGATCTTTTATGCCCTCTGTAATCCCTTTTTTGCGCTACCAAGTTCAAGTTCAAGTATGTTTATTGAGATAAGCAATAAATACATCTCAAAGGGATAGAGTAGCTTAGGCTATTTCTACCCCCCTAATTCTGGTTTTCCTTCAAAACGCATAAATCTTTCGCCTTTTGCGCTACCGCTCACAGGATGAGTATGGGGTGCACAATAAAGTAGCCGCCTCCGGAGGCAACACTGTAACGTGTGTTTACGTGTACGTATTTGGTTGATGGGGGGGGGGGCGGGGTATTTATTTAGTATAGTCTTGGTTACAGCAGTCGGTTTGTTGGCATTGTAGTGAAATATCATAGTAGTTGAGACGAAACCCGGAGCAGGGCAGAGCTGAGTGAGGCCGGGGGTAGAGAGCTTGGATGAGGGGCGAGTGTGTAGAGCGTAGCACTCTGCATGTGGGTGGAGTCAGAGCTCGAGTGCGGGACAAGAGTGCAGATCGAAGCTTTTTGAGCCTCTGCGAGTCAGGCACATGCTGATTTTTTAACTGGAAATCCTTCAGTGATTATCTTTAGACTCGATTCTTCCTATGGAGGAGTCTGCCGAAAGTGTTGATATGGTCTATCTTCCCCTTTGATTTTAATGGTCCATATCAAGTCCACTTTCTCTAGAACCTTGACCATATTATCCGTCCATGCACTTGTTCTATATTGAAGGTTTCTGTGAAGCTATCTGCGTATGCTATCTTTGATTGACAGTCTGTCGGTGGTTCCAACAAGTTTTGCTGTTATGGTCGCTATCCTTTGTTTGGTCCTGTTTTCTGAGGCTGGTAAGTTGGTTTCCATTCTTAGATTCTCTCTACGCGTCCATATAGGTGCTCCCAGCATTGTTCTGATGGCATCATTTTGAGACACTTCCAGTTTCTCCCATTAGTTATCACTGAGGGATGTAAGAGCAGGAGCAGCACAGTCAATGAGTGACCTAACTGCTTGAACGTAGTACATTTTGAGTACTGGTAGAGATATTTGTACCTAAGCCAAAAAACTTTACCATTATATAAATAAATAAATAAATTTATTTATTTATTTATATACAAGAAGGTACATTGGGTTTGTGAGAATACATAGCATAGTATTTACAATCTTGTAAAGCCACTAGTACGCGCAGCGTTTCGGGCAGGTCCTTAATCTAACAGATAATTTTAAGTAGGTAAATTCTAGCAGAATTAATAAAATGATAACAGATACATTGCAAGAAAAAATGAGATGAGAGAGATTAGTAAGTATAGTAAAGCACATTGGTATATTAAAGCTCTGATTGATTGCATTGACAACGTGATTGGTAATTTAAACAAGATTAATAGACACCATACAGCAGATTGATAGCACATATAAGAAGACAGCAATGATCACAATGGTAAAGATGTTCAGATTGGGTACATAAAGATTGGGAGATTGGGTAGCAATAGATACAGTGTAATTTTAAAGCAAAAGGTAAAAAACTATGAAGATGAAATTAGGTACTTTTTAGTTTTGTTTTTGAATGACGCAAAAGTTGGACAGCTTTTCAATTCATTAGGGAGTGAGTTCCATAGACTGGGTCCCTTTATTTGCATAGAGTGTTTACACAGATTAAGTTTGACTCTGGGGATATCAAAGAGATATTTATTTCTGGTGTGGTGATAATGGGTCCTATTACATCTGTCCAGGGAGAGTTTCAGAGCAGGATTTGCATTTAAGAACAGGGTTTTGTAAATGTAATTGACACAAGAGAATTTGTGGAGTGAGATTATGTTTAGCATGTTTAGGGAGTTAAACAAGGGGGCTGAGTGTTGTCTGAAAGCAGAATTTGTTATTATTCTGATAGCAGATTTTTGCTGGGTGATGATGGACTTGAGGTGGTTTGCAGTGGTTGAACCCCATGCACAGATACCATAATTAAGATAGGGATAGATTAGTGCATAATATAGAGAGATGAGAGCAGAGTTAGGTACATAATATCTGATTTTGGAGAGTATCCCAACTGTTTTAGAGACTTTCTTAGTTATGTGTTGTATGTGGGTACTGAAGTTGAGTCTCTTGTCTAGGAATAGGCCAAGAAACTTTCCATCATTTTTATTGCTAATGTTTACATTGTCTATCTGAAGCTGAATTGCATTTGTAGATTTGCTTCCAAATAAGATGTAGTAGGTCTTTTCTATGTTAAGTGTTAGTTTGTTGGTTGACATCCATAAGTGGACTTTTTTTAGTTCATTATTAACAACATTATTTAGTGTATGTGGGTTGGGGTTAGAGTAGATGAGGGTAGTATCATCAGCAAACAAAATAGGTTTCAGAATGTTAGAGACATTAGGCAGATCATTGATGTATATAAGAAATAGGAGAGGTCCCAAGATGCTGCCCTGTGGCACTCCAACGGTTATTGGTAGAGTGGGAGAGGTTATATTATTGATGGCTACACATTGGTGTCTATCACTAAGATAGGATTGGATATAGTCCAGTGCATGGCCTCGGATTCCATAATGATGGAGTTTACGTAAGAGGTAATTGTGATTAACATATATCAAAGGCCTTTCTCGGGTCAATGAAGAGTCCAATCGGAAACTCATTTTTGTTAAGGGCTGAGTAAATTATATCAAGGAGACTAATAATTGCATCGTTGGTATTCTTTTGGGAGCGGAAATCAAACTGACAGGGGCTAAGAATGTCGAATTTTACAAGGTAGGAGTAGAGCTGTTTGTAGATAATTTTTTCAAATATTTTTGATAGTATGGGTAGGTTCGATATTGGTCTATAGTTGTTTATGTCTGACGGATTACCTCCTTTATGAACTGGCGTTACTCTTGCTTTTTTAAGAATATCAGGGAAGGTATGACACTCAAGGGATTTGTTGAACAGCAGAGCTATAGGTGGCGCAAGGGCTTGGGAGATAGAGCGCTCTTGTATACAATGGATGGGATTTAACTGATGTTCCCAGCTTTGGTTTTTAGTGAGTGTATGATGGACACAACATTTGTCAGGCTGACTGGTGAGAGAGGAGAAGAGAGTTTGGATAGCTGCCTGAGAGATATGTGTTGATATGTGTCTGAGTCTGTGGGATTTTACTGGCAAGGTCATATCAGGTAAGTACCATATCAGGTAAGATGAAACGGTACAGTGTAACAAGGTTTTATATTAACAAATAACTACAATATAAGTTGACAGCGGTGATTACACTGGTAAGGATATATGCCTTAAGTACTAATATTGGGGAAGTGGGTAGTAAGATACAGTCCGAGTTTGAAGCACAAAGGAAACTATGAGGATGAAAAATTAAAAATTAGGTACTTAGGTAAAAAAATTAGGTGAAAAATGAAATTAGGTACTTTTAGGTTTTATTTCTGAATAGGGCTTTGGTTGGAATTTTATGTATTCACCAGGGAGTAAGTTCCAAAGACTGAACCCGAAATATTATTTGCATGGAGTGTTTGCTCAGATTTAGTCTGACTCTGGGGGATATTAAAGGGATTTTTTTTTCACCTTTGGTGTAGTGCTTATGGGTTCTATTGCAGATATCAAAGAAAAGTTTCAGATCAAGATTAGCATTTAGGAACAAGGTTTTGTACATGTAGATAGCATATGAGAATGTGTGGAGTGAATGTACGTTTATCCAACAGCATGTTAAGGGACTTAAACAGAGGGTGCTGTGTGTTGTCTGAAGACAGCGTTTGTTACGGTTCTGATAACAGATTTTTGCTGAGTGATACTAGGCTTGAGGTAATTTGCAGTGGTTGAACCCCATGCACAGATACCGTATATGAGAGAGGGATATATTAGTTTCTGCAGGGAGATTGGGTGAAAAGTGATCAGTAGTATAATGAGAGGAGAGCAGAGTGGGGAACATAATATCTGATTTTAGTAAGTATACCGACCGTTTTGGAGACCTTTGTTGGTTGTGTTGTATGTGGGTGCTGAAGTTCAGTCCTTTGTCCATGTGAAGGTCAAAGAACTTCCCTCCATTTTATTGCTAATATTAACATTGTCTATCTGAAGTTGAATCTGATTTGATGATTTTCTACCAAAAAATGTAGAAGGTCTTTTCCCTCTGGTCGCTGGTGCCATGTTTAGTGTAAGTTTGCGGGTTGACATCCATGAGTGGACTTTTTTAATTAATTGTTGACAATATTATTCAGTGTGTGGGGGTTGGGGTCAGAATAGATGAAGGTAGTATCATCACCAAATAGTATAGGGTTAAGAATGTTAGAAACATTTGGCAAATCATTGCCGTATATAAGAAATAGGAGAGGTCCCAAGATGCTGCCCTGTGGCAACCCTACTGTTAATGGTAGAGTGGGGAAGGTTATGCAATTGATGGCTACATATTGGTGTCTGTCACTGAGACAGGAACGAATATAGTCCAGAGCAAGGCCTCGGATACCATAGTGGTGAAGTTCAAGTAAGAGATAGTTATGGTTTACAGTATCAAAGGGGTTTCTCAGGTCAATGAAGAGGGCCAATTGAAACTCATTTTTGTCAAGGGCTGTGTAGATTATATTTAGCAGAGTAATAATGGCATCATTGGTACTCTTTTGGGAACGGAAGCCAAACTGGCAGAGGCTTAATATGCTGAGTTTTACAAAGTAGTAATAGAGGTGTTCGTAAATAATTTTTTAAATATTTGTGAAAGTATAGGTAAATTTGATTTTGGTCTGTAATTGTTTATGTCAGCTGTCTCGCCTCTTTTATGAACTGGCGTCACTCTGTTTTTTTAAGGATATCAGGAAAAGTATGACACTGTAGAGATTTGTATATCTGCAGCCCATCCTCCTGTTTATATAGTACCTATTGTGATGGTCGTTAATAGTCACGAATTCGTACGTACTTTTTCGAATTTACGTACGTACGTACGTACTTCTGGCATAGCTTTGTCACCTCACCCAAAACTTTTGTACCATATCACTTCACCCAAAACGAGTATAAGTATAATGAATGTTATGTGTAAACTAGTCTTTGCAAATGCAATAAGCATTATGAAACGCGTTCAGGCGTCAGACCAAAAATAAAAGAATTAATTTTGGAGAGTTAATTTTTCAATTACCCCCAACAGTGAAGATAAACGTAAGAAATATTGAGAAATTCGTGTTAGAATTATTAATCTTACCCTCTCGGTCATATTCAACAACATAAATAAGTAAATAAATAACAACAAATGACAATAATAAAGACACTAATTATAACATAGGATTTACAGATATTAATCTAATAAGGTATTGGTGCCAGTATTGGAAATGTCGGCAGAGTTTGAGCAAGTGTTAATGGTAGTGGCAATAGTATTTTTCCTATTGTGGCCCGAGTGAAGATGGCATTGGTGGGCCCGGCTCAACATCGTAACTTACGGATGTACCAGGACCATCACTTGATAGTACGTCCGGCTCAACGTGGTCCTGTTTACACTGAGACTGCTCCTCCGTGAGTAATCTTTGTTATGTAAATTTTCCTTTGATTCATTTAGTTGTATATCTCCATTTACATGTATTTGTCAAATTTTCTTTACTGTATTTCTGCTTAATGAAATTTCGTAGTTGGCAAAATGAATAAATATAAATTGTACTTATTTGAGAAAATTTTGGTGGGATGGATATTTTTATTTAACTGACTTAGGTATACACAGCAATGTGCTGCTACCCTATTTTATACGAAAGATTACACAGTGTGAATAAAAAAAACAGCTATAAGTTCATGGAACTGGCGTGTGTGAATAAAAAAAACAGCTATAAGAGGTACTGGCACAGACGCGCCTCAGCTTCTTGCATGTCAGTAGTGGCATGTTTGGATAGGCTAGAAAAAGTGAGCACCCACTTTTTATTCCAAAATGTTCTCATTGATAGATCACACTATTGTGATTTCCGTTTGCATTTTCAGGGGTTTCTTAGCTTTTTTTCACTGTAAACTATTCTTTTTGCAGTTCAAATACTCAGTTAAATGAAGAATCGAGAGAGAGGTACCGCAACCGAGCGTGGGAACTGGACTTGCATGGTATGTACAGACATGAGGCTGACGTCGCTGTCAACTCCTTCTTGAGGAAACATTCTGACGAGTCCAGAGTTCGCATCATAACAGGTCGAGGTCTACACAGTGAGAAGAACCAACCTGTCCTCAAGCCTCACGTAATAAATCTCATCTCTCAGCGTGGACTTAGCTACAAGGTGGTATCTAAAGGAGGCTGTATTGACATATATCCGAAAGCGCCACATTTACATAATATGGGGCTATATGATTTAGATCATTCTTTACACTACTACTAATATAATAATTCATTGTGTCGGGGGACAGGCAGCCAATGTATATATATACGTGTTAGGCTTATATCGAGGTCCCCCCAGGGTCGAATTACTCACCCTCCCCAGAATGTATCTCTTCAACAAGCTGACTGACTCCTGTGTGCCTATTTACTGATATGTGAACGGCCGCATTAGGTGATAAAAAATGCGCTCAACCATTTTTGTCTCGCCCAGGATTTGAAACCGGAATTCCTGATTGTGAGTCGAGAATGACTCCGACTGTATTACTTCAGTAGATAGTCTAGGGTTTTCACATTATATAATATGACACATAACGAGGTCCTTAGATGTTTTTTTTTGAGATATATACAAGAGTTGTTACATTCTTGTACATTAGGTATTACATATAATTATTATTAGATAAACAGGTAGATATTAGATAAACAGGTTTGAAGGTATTACATCTGTTCACATAATTGTAATTAAATTTACATTGTGTTGAAGCACAAAAGGTAAGATAGTAATTAGCTGACACTGGAATCCTTCTTTTTTTGTCTACCAAAGTAGCAATTAAAGATCAACTCAACCTTAGTCACGAGGCAAAGCTCAACGCCTTAAGCCATGTGGAAACAGTCCACAGAGCATTCTCTCTCAAACTGCTGGCTTAGGCTCGGCTACAAGTACCTCTGGAAGTTTGAATGTGCTGATTTAGATTTGACTAAATGTAAACTCTGTCAGCAGAACTATTCGCATACTTTGCGTCATTATATAATGGAATTTGAAAAAATCGCTGAATTCAGAGATAACACCATCAGTGGAGTCCAAGAAATGTGTAAGTACATCATTCATAATGATGTACTGCCAGCAATCTTAGCGAAGTATCCAAAATTTGCTAACTGTAGGTAATGCATGCACATGACTGTAAAGCTGCCGCCCAGTTGGGTGGGTGTGGAGCACATGACTGTAAAGCTGCCGCCCAGTTGGGTGGGTGTGTAGCACACGACTGTAAAGCTGCCGCCCAGTTGGGTGGGTGTGGAGCACATGACTGTAAAGCTGCCGCCCAGTTGGGTGGGTGTGGAGCACATGACTGTAAAGCTGCCGCCCAGTTGGGTGGGTGTGGAGCACATGACTGTAAAGCTGCCGCCCAGTTGGGTGGGTGTGGAGCACATGACTGTAAAGCTGCCGCCCAGTTGGGTGGGTGTGGGGCACATGACTGTAAAGCTGCCGCCCAGTTGGGTGGGTGTGGAGCACATGACTGTAAAGCTGCCGCCCAGTTGGGTGGGTGTGGGGCACATGACTGTAAAGCTGCCGCCCAGACTGTAAAGCTGCCGCCCAGTTGGGTGGGTGTGTAGGACTGTAAAGCTGCCGCCCAGTTGGGTGGGTGTGGGGCACATGACTGTAAAGCTGCCGTTGGGTGGGTGTGGAGCACATCACTGTAAAGCTGCCGCCCAGTTGGGTGGGTGTGGGGCACATGACTGTAAAGCTGCCGCCCAGTTGGGTGGGTGTGGGGCACATGACTGTAAAGCTGCCGCCCAGTTGGGTGGGTGTGGGGCACATGACTGTAAAGCTGCCGCCCAGTTGGGTGGGTGTGGAGTACATGACTGTAAAGCTGCCGCCCAGTTGGGTGGGTGTGGAGCACATGACTGTACTGCCGCCCAGTTGGGTACATGACTGTAAAGCTGCCGCCCAGTTGGGTGGGTGTGGAGCACATGACTGTAAAGCTGCCGCCCAGTTGGGTGGGTGTGTAGCACATGACTGTAAAGCTGCCGCCCAGTTGGGTGGGTGTGGAGCACATCACTGTAAAGCTGCCGCCCAGTTGGGTGGGTGTGGGGCACATGACTGTAAAGCTGCCGCCCAGTTGGGTGGGTGTGGGGCACATCACTGTAAAGCTGCCGCCCAGTTGGGTGGGTGTGGGGCACATGACTGTAAAGCTGCCGCCCAGTTGGGTGGGTGTGGAGTACATGACTGTAAAGCTGCCGCCCAGTTGGGTGGGTGTGGAGCACATGACTGTAAAGCTGCCGCCCAGTTGGGTGGGTGTGTAGCACATGACTGTAAAGCTGCCGCCCAGTTGGGTGGGTGTGGAGCACATGACTGTAAAGCTGCCGCCCAGTTGGGTGGGTGTGCAGCACATGACTGTAAAGCTGCCGCCCAGTTGGGTGGGTGTGTAGCACATGACTGGCTGCCGCCCAGTTGGGTGGGTGTGTAGCACATCACTGTAAAGCTGCCGCCCAGTTGGGTGGGTGTGGAGTACATGACTGTAAAGCTGCCGCCCAGTTGGGTAAACATGACTGTAAAGCTGCCGCCCAGTTGGGTGGGTGTGGAGCACGTGACTGTAAAGCTGCCGCCCAGTTGGGTGGGTGTGGAGTACATGACTGTAAAGCTGCCGCCCAGTTGGGTGGGTGGGAGTACATGACTGTAAAGCTGCCGCCCAGTTGGGTGGGTGTGGAGTACATGACTGTAGCTGCAGTTGGGTGGGTGTGGAGTACATGACTGTAAAGCTGTAAGTTGGGTGGGTGTGGAGTACATGACTGTAAAGCTGCCGCCCAGTTGGGTGGGTGTGGAGTACATGACTGTAAAGCTGCCGCCCAGTTGGGTGGGTGCACATGACTGTAAAGCTGCCGCCCAGTTGGGTGGGTGTGGAGTACATGACTGTAAAGCTGCCGCCCAGTTGGGTGGGTGTGGAGCACATGACTGTAAAGCTGCCGCCCAGTTGGGTGGGTGTGGAGCACATGACTGTAAAGCTGCCGCCCAGTTGGGTGGGTGTGGAGCAAGACTAGTAACTATAAGGATTAAGTACTACAGATGTTAAGTGTAGCATGTTTTGAGCAGATGCTCTTTTGTTTATAATCTTGTAAATAATAAGTTGTGTACCGGATACCTGTTGTTGTTGTTGTTGTTGACAATAAACCATGTGAACGAAGATTGTTTCTCTTCCGCCTTAAATGTAACAGTAACTGACTCACCACAGGTGTAAAGTGCCAGGAATAGAGACTGTTGTGAGCCTCTTGTTGAATCACTTGTGTTATCAAAAGATTATTGATATGTATATGTATTTGTGTACATGTATGTGTATATATGTACATGCGTATGTAATATTAACAATTGTGTAACTAGCGTCAAAAGATTGTTACTTGCTTAGCTAAACGAACCAGGGGGTTCAGTTGCTGAACCCATTATGTGCCTCTATAACCCTTTCCACCACCGCCCACGGGATGGGTATGGGGTGCATAATAAAGAAATGAAATTAAAAAATCTTAAATCATATACACTGATGGTTCCCTACACCGCACCACGGGTGCAGCTGGAAGTGCAGTTGTCCTGACAATGGGCGATGGCTTATATTGTGAGTGGGGAGTCCGTATAAACAACTGGGCCTCTACCCTTCAGACACAACTATTTGCCTTGCTCCTTGCACTGAAATGTGTACAAGTCTCCAAACTTGATACATTAATTGTAAGTGACTCTTTACCATCCTTAATTGGACTCAACTCTTTAAGACATAACTGTAACATGCTCGTGTCCGAAGCTAGACACAAATACAACAAAATTATTAAGATGGTAACAAAGTCCATTTCATGTGGACTCCATCTCATGTTGGCCTCCGAATACATGATAGAGGACCCAATGTAAACTGTGTCAACAAAATTATTCGCACACCCTCTGTCACTATGTGATGGAGTGCGAAAAGATGCGTGAATTCAGAAACAATTCTATAACAAATATCCCAGAGATGTGTAAATATTTAAATCATAAGTATCTGCTTCCAGAAATTTTAGCCAAATATCCCCAGTTTGCTAACTGTAGGTAGTAACTAAGTGAATGTAACCTATCCACCGCTGCCCACTGGATGGGGGCAGTGTGCAGGACAAACATATCAATTGTAACACTAGCTCTCCACATATGTCAGTTGCATAGCTTTCACACTGTATTCATGGTGTGGGAAAATCCTAGCAGGCATTTATTATATTTTTTGTTAACTTCAATATTGAATTATTGTGATTCTAAGCGGACTGTATATTTGATTAAGCCTGCCAGAACTTATCTGCACATAGTTTGGAGGGATATTTACAACTTATACCACAATGAGTGGATATAAATTAAGTTGTAAATATTTACCTCTAGTTAAATATAAATTATACCACATATGGTGGCTTAAACAACTATTATGATTAATTCTAGTTATCTACTGTACTGTGGTAATAACAGGAAATTTGAATCTTTAGCTGTGTTGTTGCTATGGCCTAATTAGGTTAATTGTTCCCACACCTTGCCTGAAACGCTGTGTGTACTAGTGACTTTAGGCATTGTATGTACTACTCTATCTATTAATTCAACATTGTGTTTGTAACTCGTCTTGAATGTATCTACTTTTACCTGAGTAAAAATTTGATTTTATTTTATTTGATTAAAGAAAATTGTAATCTTCTGTTTATTTTGTTAACATTTCTTCTGCTTTTTCTACTGTTCTATCCATCAGGTAATTATTATCATTCTCTTTTTTTTTTAATTCAATTTATCCTTTTGATCTCAATAATTATTAAGTTTTAGTCGTTTTTTTCCACCTCGCCCGAAACTCTGTGCGCACTAGTGCTTCAGGCAGTGTATGTACACTAGCTCTATCTATTAATCCAACATCATGTTTGTAACTCATTTTCAATATATGTACTTTTACCTTAATAAATATCTTATCTCATGTTCTCTTATCTTATAGCCCTGAAACTCTCCCTGGACAGATGTAATAGGACCCATTATCACCACACAAGAAATAAATATATCTTTGATATTCCCAGAGTCAAACTTAATCTGTGTAAACACTCTATGTAAATAAAGGGACCCAGTCTATGGAACTCACTCCCTAATGAATTGAAAAACTGTCCAACTTTTGCCTCATTCAAAAACAAAAACAAAAGTACCTAATTTCATCTTCATAGTGCTGTAAAAATTGCACTGTATCTAGTGTTACCCAATCTCCCAATCTTTATGTACCTAATTCAAACAACTTTACCATTATGATCATTACTGTCTTCTTATATGTGCTATCAATATGCTGTCAATGCAATATTCCCGAGCTACCAATGTGCTTTAATATACTTACTAATCTCTCTCATCTCATGTTTTTCTTTCATTGTACCTGTTATCATTTTATAAATTTTGCTAGAATTTACTTACTTAAAATTATCTATTAGATTAAGGACCTGCCCGAAACGCTGCACGTACTAGTGGCTTTACAAGATTGTAAACACCATGCAATGTATCCTCATAAACCCAATGTACCTTCTTGTATATATAAAAATAAATGAATAGATAGATAAATAAATAAATAAATAAATAAATAAATAAATAAATAAATTTTATCTTATCTTATGTTCAACTAATTTGTCCCTGCCCGAAGGGAGGACAATCAAAGACCTTCAATTAGCCTATGGAAATAATTAATAACGAATTAAAAAAAGTTCACTCATGGATGTCAACCAACAAAATCACACTAAAAATAGAAAAGAATTTACTACATTTTATTTGAAAGCAAATCATCAAACGAAATTCAGCTTCAGATAGACAATGTTAACATCAGTAGTAAAAATGATGGAACGTTCCTTGACCTATACATAGACAAGAGACTCAACGTCAGCACCCACATACAACTTCAAACTCACACTGTATTTTGTGCTACCCACTCCCCCAATGTACTCACCTAATTGTACTCACCTAATTGTGCTTGCGG